ACAATTACGGTTACCTCCTTAATTTCAGCTATGTAATTATTAGTTGAATGAATGAAAATTGGAATAAAAATTTATATATGGGATATATGTTTATGTATGTGTATGTATGTATATATAGATACATATGTTTGATTGCATATGTATGTATGTATATTGATGTTTGTGTGTGTACCTGTATGTATATATGTGTATGTGTGTGTATATATAAAAATATATTTGTGTGTATAATTATAATTTGATAGTACTGTTGTCATTGAATTATATAAATATTTTTTAAAAAAAAGAAAGGAATGAGAAGAACTTGGGAAAAAAAAGGAAATATTGTATTGTTCCTTTTTAATGAAGATTGCTGAAATATATGTGGTGGTTACGCCACGAAAGAGAGAGAAAAAAAAAAAAAGCTTTGTACAGACTAGCAAATTCCTTTGACAAAAAACTGTTGTTTTCCAATGTATAGTCATGCCTATATATGGTCATGATGTGCCTATATGGTCATGATGTGCCTATATATGGCCATGATGTGCCTATATATGGCCATGATGTGCCTATATATGGTCATGATGTGCCTATATATGGTCGTGATGTGCCTATATATGGTCGTGATGTGCCTATATATATGGTCGTGATGTGCCTATATATGGCCGTGATGTGCCTATATATGGCCGTGATGTGCCTATATATGGCTGTGATGTGCCTATATATGGCCGTGATGTGCCTATATATGGCCGTGATGTGCCTATATATGGCCATGATTTGATGTCATCATGACCATATTTTAGCATGTCACATTTCATAGTGCGGGACGGTCCCCCATTTCAAAGTGATTTTGGATGAAACACGCATTTTGCAGAAACACTAAGCGTGATCCTAAATTTGTCATGCATTTAACACAAGTCTATGCGTGATAACGATTTATCACGAATTCAGGGGAAAATGTATTTAAAATGAGAAGAAATTGGTTTCATTTAAAATATAAAATGTTTGTGTAGGTATACAGTGTTCGGGTGCTCAAATTAAACAATTAAAGACCTACATTGAAACTCAAGTTATACGTGGCTTTAGTATTAATAATATTTTTGCCAATATACCCGTATTGTCAACAAACACTCCCTAAAAACTCCCTTTAAAACAGATTAAAAATGCTCAGATCGTCAGAGCGGCGGGTGGCGTGGCCCATGCCACTGGAACCCCCCTTCCCCAGCCAACTGGTCACTCACGCATTTAGTCTGGACACTACTGGGCTTAACTACCTGACCACCATAATAATTTAGTTCCCAAACCATACCGTAAATGCTCAAGCGTCGCGGCGCTTATAGAATTTTTGGAGGCTTCAGTGCTGCGCTTATTCGAGAGCGACGCTTATAGGAAAATATTGGCGTTGTGCCCGTACCCGTTCCCATGTTAGTACGTATTCCCATAGTTCAGTAGGCCAATCGTACGTCCTACTTCATCGTAAGTAAACATTTTTAAAGAAATGCTTGTCTTTCTTGTGTTATTTATTCATTTTAACACTGTATACCTTTTATTTAAAAAACTGTTTCTCAAAGTGTTTCATTACACACAGGGCAATATACAGTATTATACTCTTAATTATGCACCGCAGCCCTTATTCGAATATCGATACCCTCCACCTCTTTCGGACATCTCTGGGTCTGCCCCAGAATGTAGGCCTATTGTATCTAAATTTTGTTTTTCAACAGTGAGGTTGGAATTAATTTTAACCTAAATATTTTCCCTATCATATATACAAAATGTTTTTTTTTTTTTAATGAGAGCTTTCTTTATTCGTAATATAACATTACAATACTAATTGCACTTTGCGTCGAAGTTGTAATTCAGAATTTTGTTGTCAACATAAATTAATATGGGTTTTGCAAATTATCCTACAAATTAAAAGGCGCCCTCTAGCACCATTTTTTATCCTAAACATTTAGGGCTTGTTAATTTTGGAAAAATATAACAAAATACTAAATATAAACATTAATCATTTAAAAGAAGCACGTAAAGTATGCTATCAACTTTCGATGAGAATTCAGTTTGGAATTTGTTTTCCTTGATCTACTATGCTTAATTTATTAAGAAAAAATTGATAGTGAGGAGGCCTATAAGGTTTTGTACTATGAATATTATGTATGCATATGTTAATCAGGAAAACTATCTCTCATTCTGATTTTTAATAGAGACATAACATAATTTATAGGTATGTCTCTGTACAGAGGATGGCCAGTAGTTTGCACAACCCTAAGTCATATGAAAAAAGGAATTCTGTTATAGGCCTACTAATCGTCTCATTTAATCACAAACGTTTTTATCAAATAAAAAAAAAAAATGTTACACTAAGTTTCACAAGAGCAATTGGAAAACATATTAAACGATAGGCCTATCGATTTTGTGACCATCTCTGATCCCTTATATGCTCTCGGAAGTATCGCCGCCATTTGCTGCCCTTGTTTGATTTAGTTGCTGGCACCTTATTTGGTCTTGATTTGGTATGATTATCTTGGTTTCATTCATTAAAATCGTTACAGCAATCGAGAATTCTCTCCGATAAGATCAGCTTATCAACGATGGTGTAGGGATTTTATGAAAATCAGGCTTTACATGGAGGTAATTTATACCTAGACTGGGTTCCAGTCCCTAATCTTTGTATTAATCAGTTAAAATGCTTAAGAATAAATCGTTTTTGGCACCAATGGCGTTCCATATTACTTATTTGCATGGCGTTCTATAGTATACTTTTTCTGGGATTAATTAATTCGCATCAAAAAGTTTCTCGACATAAACTGACGCTGGTGGCGCTTTCCGAAATGCGCTAGTACTACGAAAAATCAATAAATTAGAGACTTGTGGCAAGTCTAATTTACACCCTGCATGGTTAGTAGATCTACGTGTAAAGTTCCTCCTCCAATTCGAGACCACTCTAACTCCGAGACCACATTTTCGTATTTTAACACAAACTACAGTATACCCTCTATTTAGAGACCGAAGCCATTGACTACCCCGCATTTTCAGGTCCCCCATGTGGTCTCGAATTTAAAGGTGGTCTTTTATGTTTCATCAATCACACCGTGTCTGCTTTACGCAACAATAAAAAATAAGACAGGCTTTATAAAAAAAAAGGTATGAGTAAATCAATGTTGTACTGATTAATTTTGAAGAAGAGAGAAAAGGGTCCGGGAAAGGTTAAAGGGTATAAAGAAAAGGTTTAGTCAATTTGGAAGATTACTCCTTTGGGCGCAATTTAGTGCCTTTCCTTCCCGAATTTTCTGTCATAATTCATTGTCTTTTTCTCAAGGAAATAAGACTTCCAATTATTTCCGCCAACCAATTTTAAGTGGTTGGACGTCTTCCGGAAATACAGTCCTGCTAAATTCAATTTCGTTTGATAAGCACGTCTGGTAAAACAATGGATTTAATTAAGACTTTATAAAGCGCTTTCCTGAAGAGTTCATGCCATATCCGCGCACAATTGAGTCTGCTAGATGAAAATATTATGTTCTACATTCAGACATAGTCACGAGCAATGAGCGCGCTAGGTAATGAGCATGAGCTCATCCATTCACTACACGGCAAAGTTTAGTCGCGGGAATTGAGCGTGCTACGTATGTAAAATAATGAGACTATACGATGTGACATTATCCAATCACAATACGGCATATTTAATTTAATGAATACGTAAACATATGTTTAGAACTTACTTTATTATTATTATTATTATCATCATCATCTGTCATCATCATCATCCATTATTATTATTATTATTATTATTATTATTATTATTATTATTATTATTTATATATTTATATTTATTATTATTTTCAGTATTATCATTAGTATTTTCCTTACTGCTGTTTAATATTATATTACTTACTAATATTATTAGGCCTTGGCCTATTTGAAGGTTTAAAAATTATGAATGGTCATTAATTATAAGTCTATGACCTATAGTTCGAAATAGAAGCACTGACCCTGACAAAAATAGCTACAAATGTGCCAATTTCGCTCAGTGTACCCGGTGCACCGAGTCGTGTGTCAACGGCCCCTGGAGTCTCAAGGATGCCACCTCCACTGATTGGTCAGTCTAGCACTGTAATGACGTCAGAAGCGTACCGTGTGCACTGGGTCGAAACTTTGCCCTGAATGGTAGATGCTGATGTCCTGTGTAAGAACCAACAGACACGTAGCAACACCTTGAAGTGAAGCCGTTTCAGTCATCATCAAGGTAATACCTTTATTTTTGTTTATCACATTTTCCAATATGAATTGTGTATGATGTTTTCTATATTAAAATGATGAGATAAGCTCAGACGAATTGTCAGAATGATAGTCTATATTGAAGCAAGAGGAGTAAAATAAATCCCGTGCTGTACAGTACTTTATTTGGTCCAATGCAGGATGTGTGCGTCTATCAGAAATGTCTTCCTCCTTGATTATATTTCTAGTTAATTTGGGCATATAACCTGTCTTGGAAACAGACCTCTCAGAGCGATCAATACAATTGAAATATTCTATGCCTGCCCCGTTTCTTTAACCTAAAACGAAAATTAATATACTCAACGGCGAAACAAAAAGTGCAAAATGGTGATGTTTATTAATTTATCGGGTGACAATTATTATTATTATTATTATTAAAAATATTATTAGGCCTATATTTATTTCATGTTTTAGCTGACACAGAACAACACATATCATAAATTTAAGTATGTAAGCCTCATGGAAGGAAGTTACTATAAATCCTAAACGGAAACAATGATGTTGTAGTCTCTAAATTTTCGAATTACCACTTACCACATCATTTGTGCTTACGAACTGGTCAGTTAACGAGTAACCAAGTTTCTCATTTGTCATCAGCTTGTTGGCCGCATGAACATAAAAATGATGCAGGTGAACAATGAAATAAATGTCACGAGACATTGAAGCTCGTGTGTAGACTGACATTGTCACACATTTTCATAATGTCACTATGTGGTTGGCCTAGGAAGGTTGTCATTGTTGTCAGCATGATGTAGGGGAGATTCTGATGACAAATTTGCATGGGGTCTTAAATTTATAAAATAAGTAAAATGTGTAATTATGTTCGGGAAACAAAAACAACCGATGAACCAGTTGTTTTACAGGGTGGGCTCTAGCGAATAATATCGTCGATGATTATCCTTTTCTTTTGATTTAAATTTAACATTATACGATTGGCTAAGTTATTGCTGTGTACACTGAGAGAATCAAAACCATGTTGATTTGCATTAAATTTAATGTTCATGTGTTTTAAAAGAAAAAAAAAAAAAGAAAAAAAAAAGTAAAATCGCATTTCGGATAAGATTTTTGGTTCGGAATCCGGATGTCCTTGAGGAAACGGGCCTCGAATCTTGAACCCTTAGGGCTTTATATACAAGACAGTCAATAGATTCCTTTCCTGGTTTCTTGTTTGTGATGCATAAAATAGGCCTAGTACAGTTTTTGCGTAAACATGAGTGCCATTCAGTACTAAATTCTATTTCAATCAACGCTGGGTGATTTATTCCAATGAACTCCGATCTATTTATACCTGCATGGTGATAGTAAACAAAATCGTAAACATGAGAGCCATTGTATTTCAGTCATGCCCATTTCTGTCAATCAATACTGTGTCATTTATTCCAATTAACGCCAATCACTGATAGTTATTGAAACCATCAGGGGGTCAAAACTCACGCATTTCGCACGCTGGAACACTTGTTGAGCGGCAAACAAGTTTGGTCTGACTCGTAAATCATGCGTCGAAACTCTACATTTTTACTACAATGACCTTTCATAAACATTGGGGGGACCACACGGAGTAACACCTTGCATCCCGTTACCATTAACCTTGGATTGGATGACATAGGGCTATTCAATTAAGATTGTATAAGACCATGGAGGTATAAGACCAAGAGAAAGTAACAAAAAAGTGAATTTTCCTTTTTGATCCCCACTTTTTTTTTCTTTTTTTTTTAAATATATTTTTTGATGTGGCTTATCTAAGAGACTTGAAATGGGAGAGGAAGGGGTGAAGGTGGTGTGGGATCGGAGCCTCGATGAATAAGTGAGGGGCTAGTTCGCAAAATAAGGACTACCTGGGCGTGATTTTTAGGCTTCGGATATTTTCAGCAAGGAGTGGGGGATTTTTTTGGGGCGTGCGGCCTGCGCATCCCTACGTCACTGTCGTTTGCTATAGTAATGAGAAAAATGTATCATATTTCGCATGCACATGAAATCGCTAATCAGTTAAATAAAATGACTTTAATACGGAAAATGAAGGAAGATGACAAAAGGAAGAGACAGAAAAAGCCTCATGAAAGCCAAACAAATTGTAGAAACTCAATAAATAATTCACTTTTCTAAATACCTTAAATTTGCCTTGTTCAATCTCTTTTCGAACGCGCCTTTCGTGAAACCTGAATATTGTATGATGAGCACTAAATTAACAACACTGCAATACTATAGGTCTAATAATGTTGATAATAATAAAAATAATGATGATGATGGTAATGACGACGATGATTATGATGATAAAAATGATAAGTTTAAATGTCAAGAATTAATAATCAGTGTAGGTATAGGCCTATGTACCGGCAACTATTCGTTTGTATTTGTTTGTGTTTTTACACTTAGTTTTTCCTCCTAATACATTGCTTGAAGTTCGACCTTAAAGTACAGACGTTCATAAAAACATACAGTTGGAATAAATAAATAAATACAGTCCACTCAGGCACGAGGTTAAAAACAAAGTTATAAATATACTTATATAGGCCTATCTCAGGTTAATGGTGTCTCATTTCAGTAGGCCTATTCTCACAGGGAGGTGTTATAAAATAAGTCAAATGGGAAGGACTGTGGAGCGCCATTTACACAACAATACGATGATAAGAATTCAACCTAGATGTGATTCAATGATGAAAACTAGCCAAATACATCAATGATGAAGAATACATCGATGAAGAAAAATACAACGGTTGAAAATGTACCGACGAAATCAGTGAATATGCGTCTATTAGAAATGCATCTATCAAATACATTTTTCATCGATGCATTTTCATCATCGATACATTATACTTATCAGTTAACGTACTTTCACCATAATCAAGGCTAAATTGTAATCAGCGAATTGTTACGTGAACGGAGTTCCATAGGGAACTATAACGGAAAGTATCAACTAAGTGCAGACGTCGGTTGCCGACTGGTCGTTGGCTCTCTATGTCAAGGACCTGTCCCGTGAAATCACAACTTATCTGGAAAAAGTTGTTTATGAGCTCTGTCATACATTTAAAACAATTCGGTGACATTTATCTACACCAAAAGAACGTGTCCTGAACTTGTTTATATGGAATTTCCAAATGAACTTTCATTGTTGATTGTTTATCCTTCGGTGACAGGTTGAAGAAAATCATAAATTTCTTATCTAAATGCATTTTATACTCGGTGAATGTAAAACACTTATAAAGCTTTTCTCAATTTCACTCTTTCGCGTTCGCCGGTGAAAATTCACTTTTAAATTTGATTTTTAAAAAGGTTGAAAATTAGTGAAATTCACTCTGAATAGAATGAAATTTCACTTTTTTAAATTAGTGTACATATTTGATTCACCGATGAAACACAGTGTATGCCTTAGCACTCTTGTACCCTGTTCACTTTTCCTGTTCTATTAAATTCCACTCAAACGTTACAAAGATGATTTTCTTCCTGGGTATATGCATTTTTCCTTTTCTCATGAATTTTTTATGATCTTGTTTTATATTTTAGTACGAATTGAAAAGAAATTAAATAAGTTTTACTTTGAATGAACAATGTATGACTCAAAGTCAAAGAGAATGTTTTATATCTGCTATAGTTTTATTTATTTTTTTATTTGTTTGTTTAACGTTACTCTATTTTAAGCCAAAAAATGACACGGCATCCAGTGTCCTCCTTGTTGTCTCAGCATCGTGCGTTCTGTTGCTCCCTCATGCACAGATATACTCAGTAGGCCTACAGCTTTCGCCTCGATCCTAGAGTTCTTTATTTAATCAATAAATATAAACATACTTTATTTTAATAGATGGGAGGTGTAAAGTTCCTCTTCGTCCTCGGCTTGATCTGCCTCTTGATCGTTCGGCCATCAAGCGCCGACGTGAGTAATACCGTCGAAGAACTCATAGACACCCAAGCGCAGCTTTTACGTGAGATCTTCGGTGAACTGAACAGAGAGATCGAAAACCTGCAGAGAAATTTCGACACTGAATTAAGCGAGCTAGAAGCGAGGTTGATGGCAGATACAGAAGCGAAGGTAGCCGAGCTACAGGCACAAATTGACGGTATGTGTCTGATTCTAATTTTATTTTCCTTTTCTTTTATTTTGGGGGGAGGGATTATTCCAGATTTTTGAATTAAAACATTTGGCTGAGGTACGGTGCCAGCACCAACGTGTAACAGATATATTGTTCCTTATCAACTCTCATGTATGGTGGTATTTTAGGCATAAACCTACGGTAACTCATACAGTGTAGTGTCTGTCTTCTTGCTTGCATCAGATCTCGAATCCAGAATCGCAGCTCAACCAGCTGTACCTGCAAAACCAGCTACCAAAGCACCAACACAACCGCCGCCAACTAAACCTCCAACCGAAGCACCAACTACCACAAAAGCAACGACGACGACTAAAGCAACAACGGTGGCTGCGGGTCCATTGGTTTACCACAATTGCAAGGACGTTCGCGACTCCGGATTCGACGTCAGCGGCAACTACATGATCGACCCCGATGGAGTTGGCGGACCTCTGGCAGAGTTTGAAGTATATTGTAACATGACAGATAGTGGAGGTAAATTTTCTTTTGTTTTCTTCATGCGAATTGTAACTTCAACGGCAATTGTTCTTGTCGATATTTAGCAAATACATTGCCTATCATGTGGATATAATGAATGTGTGTTATACGCATTCTGATTTCGAAATTAATCATTGTGTAGTAGATTAGAATGTATATTTGACCTTTGAGATGGTTTAAAGTCATTCGCTTCTGAGCGACGTCATAGGCACACCTTGACATTCTATTGGTCAGCGAGTGTAAACATTTCAAATATTTCTACTGCAAAAAATGTTAACATTTACAGGCATAGGAATAATGTGATCTTCAATTAGCACACGTAACTGTATTGAAATATGTATTAAGATACAATTGTATGCTTTAACTACATGCTTCAGTTATTACGTGAGCCGGACTAAATTGGCTATTTAGAATCCAAAAATTGGATGGAGAATTTTGGGTCATTATAAAAACAACATGGCAGCATATTAATTATTCGATCTAATTTATAGAAAAGTGTCGATACTACACTATTTATTGTCTCAACAGCATATACTTCTATTGGTGTTGAGCAAGCGTCAAGTATGCCCATCACCGTGAAGGGTCCGGACGACCCCGGTGCGTACGTCTTTACTCCAGAATACTTGGCAACGACAGAGCAGATTTTGGCAGTTGTGTCTGCGTCGTCAGAGTGTAGACAGTGGATTAGTGTAAGTATAAACTATTGCATACGGTATATGGTATCCGATCGAACACCCAGTGCCATAGGAGAGGTAGTGTGGTGCAGAAACCGCCGTAAACCCAAAATAACTACGTCATGAGCTATTTTGAATGAGTTCCGCACCTACACACCAATCCCACACTCCCCGGTCTACACATCGTTTGGACAGCGATGGTGAATGTAATCTTAGGCTGCACTTTATATATTCTTTTTGACAATTTGAACTATTGTATGTGCCATTACTGATGCTCACATATAGGTCGTGGAAATATGACGTCATCGTGCCGAAAGTTGGAAAAGCACATTTTTATATCCATATTTATCTAAACCCCAAACTAATACATGTAGGACTTGTAATTTATCGCTGTTTTCGTATTCTAGTAAAGCTCTGTTCACAAAATTTTGTGTGATCAATTTGTATGGTGTGCTCATATATATGGGCATGAAGATGTCATATTACACCCAAATAATATGTGCATATCACAGTTATTTTATTACATAAAATTTGATTATGTGGACAAAGGTTAACATACAGTGTATTATTATTGCAGTACTCGTGCACAAGCGCTGTACTCTTGGCGTACCATAAGAAGAAAAAGCTGCATCACGGATGGTTGGTTTCTAGAGATGATGCCCAAATGATCAACTGGGGTGGCGCCCCAACCAATTCCTTATCATGCGCTTGTGGAGTTACAGGTAGGCACATATGGGCGGCCATTAACGTCAAAATAGAAAAAGTTGTCGTAAGGACAAATCCAACCACGTGTCAGTCAAATCAATTTCCGTATTTTAAGACAAATTCATCCTATAAAGACAGAACCATCCACGTAATGAACAATTCTATTCACGCAATGCACAATTCCATCCACGTAATGGACATAGGCCTGTCCATATCACCACCGCAAAGCTGCATTTTACACCGAATAAGAAATTTTCCGATCGGACGGCCTACCGAACCGATCATAAAATCAAATTAGTGTTTAAGAATAGGGACGCTGGCGTTGACCAGCCGTTATCTTTCTTCTAGAGCTTTCGAGGCGTACCAGTATACTGCGTGCAGTCGACTGTTGAAGATCCGTTCCGTCCGGAGTTGTATAATTAGGGAGTTTTCGAAAGCTTACAAAAACGATAACGAATACGGTTACTTAATTAGACAACCCTTCTGTACAGTAGCATATCTATCTCAACGTATGCCTTTGCATGAACCAATGATCATATTCAGCTCGTACAGCATATTGTCAAGAATGTTGTAGGAATGAATGACGATAATGATAATAATGACAATAATGACGTATTCGTTATTGTTTTCGTGATGTTGCGAAATCTTACTATTATGCAGGGGCGGATTTAGGGGGCTCCCTTTTGGGAGGTAAAAAAAAGAAAAAAAAAGGGGAAAAAAGAGAGAAAAAGAAAAAAATGATAGCCCAGAATGCCTCAAATGTTATGTTCGGGCGTCTAGAACACAAAAATTTCGCGGGGGCATGCCCCAGACCCCCTACGACAGTGTTGTCTCAATCGGTCCAACTTTCGGCCCCCGCTTCCGGCCCCCCTTTTGGACATTTCTGGATCCGCCCCTGTTATGTACTGTATACAAACCCTTGTGTAAAATCAAAATATTACTGGTCCTTATATTAATTGTCTTAATTTTTCATTTACAAATTTGTTTGCGGGCCTTGGCAGCGATCCCTGTGTTGATGGAGAGGGGAAGGGGAGATGTTTAAAAACTCAGACTTTTCGTAATCTGAACTTTTTGTAAATTGCAGTTGACATTTCGTAGCCAAGATATTGCAAGTTACGAAATTTCCGTGACAGAGTTACGAAAAGTCAGGGTTAAGGTGACACACTATAATAACAACTAACGGAATAATAACGTGCCATGTATTTTTTCTTTTCTCAGATACTTGTGTTAAAAATGATATAAAATGTAACTGTGACGCTAATGATTCAAAACGGGAATTGAACGATAGTGGTTACCTCACGGACATCGACACCCTACCGATAAAAGCCGTTCATCTGGGCGACGTCGCGGGCAAGAAGGAGATAGGACATCTTACTCTTGGAAGCCTAGAGTGTAAGGGTAAAGTGTAAATGAGTGGTTCGGAGGGGTTTAAACATGCATTGTAGATGATGTCATGATCAACTGTAATTCTTCCGCTAATTAAAGTAGTTCCCAGTCCAAGTGCATAATAGATTTTGAGTGTAAATATAGAACTAAATTTTAATCACACTCTGTAAAAAGATTGGAATCAATTTGAACAATTGTCGATATTCATTTTCCGTCTTTTTATAATTATCCTTTCTATAATCATATCATGTAATGAAGAATTTCAAAATTGTAATCGTGTGTGCTAAAATATTTCTGAAAACATCATACCATTTGGGTCATTTCTTAATTTGTCGAGATATTGGACACCGTACCGTAACTTCTTAAATTCAAAAGATTAAATTTAACTCTAGAATACCGGTAGTGCCAGCAGAGGTCACTCGATTAAAAATTCACTCTAAAATAAGAATGAATTTATTTTTAAAATAGTGATTACCGTAAGTACGTTTTCACTAATTGTTCATTGTTTTGAAAGTTAGAGAGTACGTTTTAATTGTTTTGATCATCTGGAAAAATCGATTAGGCCCGGTTACCAACTATTATAATCATGTATCTTTATATGTGATCGCATGTTATACGAATTAAGTCGGCTGCTCTGTTAAAACAATGAGGATGTGCAACGCACATTTTTTGTCTATTATTAATGTATTAGGCAATAATAATCTTAATAGGGAGGCTTCGCAAGCTTACGAAAACGACAAAAAATACGGTTACGTCATCAACTGTTTAGTCAATCCGTCTCTTACATTTAGCATATCTGTCATGATCACAACGTAACATATCCACCCCTTTTACAGGAATCAACGATCATGTTCAGCTCGTATTTGTATTGTCAAGAATATTAGGCACAAATGACGAAATGAAGATAATCCGAACTCGAATAATCCGGGCTTGCGAAATCTTCCTAATATGTAAAGCTTTACTTTCTCATTTTACGCATAATGCCAGTCCATGTCTTTGTATCATTCATTAAATAACATGTGCTATACGTTTGAAGATGAGCCAAATTTTAGCTCTTCTATATTTGTTTTAATGTTCAATAAAATACCAAAAATTGGCTACCAGTATCCATTGTGCTTTATTTATGTCTATTGCTCAATATGAATTATCAGCAGACGACGTAAATGTTAAAGCCCCATTCCCGGCAAGATTTCAGTTGTTAAGAAAAATCTGATTTTTATATAGGCCTATGTTATAAAGATTTATAAATGTAACGAAATTGCTAATTTAACTGAATTTAGATATTCCTAAACATGAAAAAAAATGTAAAATAAGACTGAAATTTGATTTGATTTTTTTTTGTGTTCCACACAAAAAAATAAATGCGGATGGATTTTTCATGTTTGATTTTGCGATAGGCCTGCGAAGAAATATAGTAGGGCCTAGCCTTACCTCGATTTAGGTTCTATTATCACACATAAAAACGGCCGACATGATATTTTCCCTTGCTAGTATTGTTTCCTTGCTAGGAATTATTTCAAATCTATTAAAAAAATGATTATGACCGAGATTTTGACAATTAAACAAACATATCTCAGGCCTACTCGATCGATCGCAGTGTGCGAGATGCGAAGTACAAAAACCAATTTCATTAGAGAGGGCGTAGTTTATTGACTGTAGTATACATAAAATTCCAATATTTTTCCATTGTTTATGGTAAATAGAGTAATGCATATGCATTTTTTCTATAAAAAAAATCGTTTTTAGTGAAATTTTGCCGGGAATGGGGCTTTAACTTATACCTTCCAAGCATGTATTTCGATAGTTCCACCCGTTTTGGAAAATTTGCGAGAATTGAAAGTATTAGAAATACTGTACTAGACTGCTTACTTTTTTCGGTGGGGGGGGGGATGGGGCGTTAATCTGGAGGGGCCCATTATTAGGCGACCCACACCATTGAGGGCCCATGATAGTAATTGTTATTTTTTGGGGAAAAATTATAAAAAATGCTACCTGAAATTTCTATGGGCTCCCTAGTAAGCTTGGACCCCGGGGATTTTCCCCATCCTCCTCTCGGTGGAACTGGTCCATGGTAAAAGTAAGCAAAACCACTATCCATCAGCTAAAATAAGCATCATCATATTATATAAAAGGTACTTGTACCGTAAAAACCTCGAAAGCCCAATGGGCTTAATCTCGAGAAGAAGCCCATCTTGAATTGAAGCCCACCTCTTCAGTTTGCAAAATTAGCCTCGAACGAGAGAGTATCGGTAGAGTACATACAATGTACATGAATTTAAAAGAAAAAAATTAATTAAGAACATGCTTGGTTTCTACAGTAGTTTAGGTGATCTAATGACGGTTAATACACTCTATGATCAGATTGATGTATACAGTGGTCCTATTTGTAGTTTATAATGCTAATTCCCAAAATTTACAGCATCCTTTTAAAATGAAGCGCCCTCCCCATCTTTACTTTGCAAAAGTGGTCTTGAAATGAGGCCCATCCAAGGTTGGCAAAACATAAGAAGCCAGGGCCTCAATTCGAGGTTTTACAGTACTTTTATAATTTTTAAATCACAAACAAGAGCACGAGACCGTTATCCACGCAGTTCCAAACACCCTCGTAAAGACATTCAAACGTCGGCAATTTGATGTTATCATCCTGTACCGTATATTTTACTTGGCTCGATGTATTTTGTGTAGGTCCGATTGGGTAATTTCGTCATCGTCTGAACCTGGAACCCAGTATAATATACTTTCTCAGGAACGTTGACGCAAGTAATACTCCATATTTAAAGGAATCACTTGAAATGACTTCCGAAGGTAATTACTTACAAAGAAAGACAAATTAAAAATCCATCTGTGTGCGAGGGATTCATGGTCGTAAAACACACTTCAGCTTCCGCTTGGAAATCATCCAGTGGGCTAGAAATTGACGCACCAAACTCAAAATTCAAAATATCCTGTCTCATGAGCTTACGTAAGTACAGTAATCTAGAAAGTTTATTATAAAATACAGTGGATTTCTTAGGCCTGATAATGTATAGTTCGAAGAGCACTGTGCTCATCCGTTAAACCGTCCAGACTAATGAAATTTAACAACACAGGCTTATTTATGCTATTAAAATTCCAACAGGCCTATATCGAATTGTGTTTTTGAGTTAATAATAAAGTAGTTTTTAGATTTAAATTGAAAGACAACACAAGAAAATTACTTCCCGGCGCCAAAGATATATTGTCTTTGATGACTCATGTCTATATTCTAATAACTAAGACTAAAAATTCGAATGATATGATGTTAACATGCTGTGGTATGTGATAATAGAGTAAAGACAGCATTACATTAATTTTCACATTAGGTAGGCTTGTAATTCGTAGCAGGGAATTCAACTGCGTATAAACAGACAATAGGATTTAAGGAGACAGCCCCGGAAATCGGCAAAATACTTTACTCGATCCGTTTGGGTTTCATCAAATCCTGTCGTCTGCGCGGCAAGTCGTGCAGTGCAGACTGTACTGGCCTAGAATCATTGTCAATGCTATTTACCCGATTATCTGCAGCAGAATGCCTTGGACAATATGGATCTGTTATGGATTAATGGTTACAATTGTAGCCGGCGATATAGCTTTTTTGCAAGATAAACTCAGCAGTGTTTTAAATATCCAGAACAGAATGCTTACAGAAATGGAAAACAAACTAAAAACAAAGATTGATGAATCGGTAGATGAAAGCAGAGTGACATCAAGGCAGGTCTTAACCGAAAGGGAGCAGCACAGTTACCAGAGGTTGCAGACTATACAAAGACAAATTAACGGTAACGGGCCAACAGTCTCTCTTCTTTCAACGTATTATTATTATGCACATATTTAGCTACGTTATAGATCTGGACATACGGTAATCAATTCAGGCTTCCACACAAAAGCATTTCATTGATTGGTACGGTAATAATCCGTGAATACCATCTAATTATTGAAGATAAATAATAACCATTAATCGAATGAGTATCTTATGGATCTATAATGACCAATTAGTTTATAGACGTAGTATCACATATTTGTCTCTTATCTAACGTCCACTAAGGCTTTGACATTGTGTAGGTATGCTTACTAATACACATCTAGATGTGTATAAGAGACATGAATTATTTCAAATCTA